AAACAAAGCGAAAACAGCAATATTTTTCACTGAATTAGGTTTATCGATATTTAAAAGTTGAAAAGACATTTTGAAGCTTGATCCACCCTTGTTGCCACCTATCTTAATCCAAATCTCATCAGCTGGAATGAGCCAGGTTAGTCTATTTAGTCTGATACAAAGTAACAGATTTTAACCTAATATAACTAGCCTAATACTATCCTGTCATTCTCATTCAGTGTGTGGAAGATCAGTGCTTTTAAGTTGCTGACAAAGCCCATTACAGCTGGCCTTAGTTCATGACCTCCACTCTTCACCTCAAAACTAAATGCAATAGCTTTAGACTCTACATCTACATCTGCCACCTGTGCATTCATTAGATGCCTTTGTTTCTTCTCACTTGACAGTTCAGCACCCCATGATTTTAGCCATCTAATAATTTTAGTTACATGTAGATGTAAATGCCTTCATCGCTAAGCCTAGTTCTGGTGGAATTAATACCATGGCATTAGCTTTCTTCATTAATAATGCTCTCTCCTCCTTTGGTATTCTTTTCATCTCATGGCAGAGCTGTATGCCTGTTTGTCCCATGCTCAATTTATCTCAAATTTTTAACAGCTCATTGTTTCTTCATCTCATGGTTTGTCTTGAGCACTCACCAGAAGGAATTATGGATGAGGACAACTTTATGAAGCTTAAAGGCAATATAAAATTTAATATAATGTGTATAATTATATTCTGTATATTAATTTAATTAACCTTTCCTCCAGTAGGAAGTATAACAACTGTATCATGACTCTGGTACATCAAACTTGTAACAATGCTAGTAGCAAAATCCTTCTCGATGGTTGTTGGTTGGCTCTCAAGTGGTCTAGATGTGATGTCTTTGAGATTTAGTAAACATACATCAGTTATATGTTGATCACAACTAGCTTGGCTTTTAGATAGGGTAAGTACATGCTTGCACTTATAGCACTTTATCATCATATTTCTTATCATCTCTTACGTAGGTGATACTCTTGAGAAAGATGAAGATGCACTTTCATGGCTCTCACCACACCCAGGACAAGTGAATGTATCCTTCTCCTTTTCCAAATGTGCAATTACAAAGCTGCGGTGTGTCAAGGTTTGACAATGTAATACCTCCACAGGATCGTTAATGGCACATTGACATAACCTGCATGTTAAGCTCTCAATGTACGTATCACCAACCATTTGTGCAAGTGAGAAGAAAGGAATGCTGCAAGCAACTGACTGTATGTGGGTTTTAAGAAGAGATGGCCACCCACCAGAACTAGACTTCTTTGGTCTTCCTCCAGTAGATATATCATCACAAATGTGACAATATGTTTAATTATGTAATTTCCATTCAACAACCTTTCGAGCACCAGAACGCTTAGCTGTCAAGTAACAATTATTGCAGAATGGTGGTACATGTAATTCTTCATTGTCATTCTGTGTATTCACTCCCAGTACTTGAAGAATAGCTGAGTATTTACTATAGCTACATTCAGTAGCTTTTTCTTGAGGCTTACCAAACACACAACAATGTTTGTCAAGATATTCATTGTGCTTGTTGAATGACATGCTAATTTTTAAAAAATACAATAATTTGTATGCAAGATAATTTGGTTGGAAAAATTGTAACCTAAGAATAAAATACATTATAGCTTACTTTGATTGTTACTCTTCAATATGCAATAACAGTTTTTTTTCAAGAAATCTTGTTTTAATAACTGGACAATAGTATGAAGCCTGCTCAAGTCGTCTTTAATAGTTTGAATTATTACAGCTGCTGCACAGTTGTGTACTATACATGCTACTTATGCGCACTGGCTATAACTACATACAGGAAGGTGTTATGTTGCGGTTACATGCTTGTCTCGTGCTATAATGTAGCTTTGTTAACAACATAGTTGAGAATTATGATGCAAATAAAAGGAAGCCATTTTTGGCTTTCAAAACTATTATACCGGAAATACAAAATACATTCTAATTAATAAATGGCATGAGCATGATCAACACCCATGCATGGAGGCTTCAAGGGCTGAACCTTGCCCAGCCATCCCCTGATAATCTCCCTTGCCACTCCATTAACTTGGTTCAATATTTTGAACTGGATTGATATAATTCATTTCAATTAAAAACCATGCCTACTATAACTAGGCCACACCAAATTAATGATGAATACTAATGAGCCCTTGTGATTGCATGTTTCTGTAGCCACCTATGGGAAGAAGCAAGAGGGTACTTGCAAAATGGTATGGTAAAAATCCTGCACTACTACATGAAGACAAATGCTTTATACTGTTACTATGTAGCTGTCTGTGTGCTGCGACAATTACAACTAATGCTTTGAAATAAATTCTTCATGTAGTAGTTATTTTACCAAACCAGTTTTCAAGTACCCTCATGTTGGTTTTGTTTTTTTTCCAATTCAATCTTACTACTTTTCAATTTTTGATGATTTTTATTTACTTGTTTTCATTCTTTTTTCTTAAATTGATAACTTACATTCTGTTATGATTCTGTGGTTAGCTTAATCACATTCATGCTGATCACGTGCGCATAAATTAAAATGGCGTCAAACCACACAACTACAAGGTGACTCCAGCAGGATTTTTGTTGCCCATCTTTGCTTTTTTTTAACCACTTGTCCAGTCCTTGACCCCAGCACAAAGGAATGATGTAAAAGCCAACTTGAGCAGTTCTGTTGTTTAAAAGATTTCGGCATCGATAGGAGGTTGAAAGAAGAGAAAGTCTGAAAAATTTTACAAAATTTGAATTTTGGCCAATTCTCCAGAAATGCTCTAGATACGTTACAGTCCACCTTAAAGGTATCAAGAGGAACTGGACGAGCCAGTGCCAGGATGGAAAGAGATAGAAGAGGGACACAAAGAGGACTGTATGTTAGGACAAAATATTGTGGAGGAACTGAACAAGAAAAAAAATTATTTTTGATAATTTACAAAAACCAATAATTAAATTAATAATGGTAGCAAACTCTATCCTGAACATACCGCCGGCCTAAGACCGAACGGTC